GGCCTCATTGCTGGCTGCAGTCATGTCCTCATCTCATATATAAAACACCTGTGATTCACAAATACTTAAGGAACTCGCATTCACATAAAGTAGCCTTGTTGACAAGTTTGGGTGAGTAAGGGCAAAACGCAGTACTTTCAGTGACCTGTAATAGGCAGTATCACATCTTTTGTAGCAGAAATGAACTGCTGCAGAAAAAGCTAGGTCCATGCAAAATTTAATGTGTAACTGCAACACTCATTTCAAATGTAGTTGAGTAAAGAGTACAGATACTCATTCAAAAATGTAGTGAAGTAAACAGTACAGATACTCATTCAAAAATGTAGTGAAGTAAAGAGTAAAAGTTGCTAATATCTTTGATATTCCGTACAACTACAAAGTACCCGAAAAGATACTCAAGTACAGTAACTAATTACATTTACTCCAATACTTTACACCTCTGTGAATCTGCCATAAATATAAAATAGAAATATATTGTGCAGTTATAATCTTTTATATAATAAAGCTTTTTTTTTTTAATTACCTGACCCTTAAAATGTGTTTGAACTACTTAAAATTTTTTTTTGACTTAATGCATGAATGTGCAATAAATATAAAATAGAAATCTATTATTGCAGATGCATTTGTGTTCTTTTGTTCACCTGTGTGTTGGTGTCCTGACTGCTGCCGTCTGAGTATGTGGATCGTGAGGACGTCCCGTTCACATGTGGGCTGTTGGAGCCGTTAGTTATGGACTCGTCAAAATCTGTTTTAATGAGAAGAACAAATGTTCATTCACTGAGATCAAGATCAGAGAACATTGTGGCTGATGTTGAATAGAAAAACAGCCATAATCCATTGTAGGTTTATCAATATAATGTACATGATGACCCTGTAAATTCATAGATGCTAAACTTCCTTGAGAAGACCATTGCTACAGCTGGAAACCTTGAGCGGGCTCTTGAGAAAGAAAGCTGAGCTGTGGGATAAAAGCAGCACGCATCTGTGGCCTGATCAACCTGATGTTCACAGACCTGACGCAGAAGATTTACTCATCCAGAATGAAATGCATGAAAACGAATAGAAAGCCAGTGGACTGGGCTGGAATGACCTTCCAGTGGGCCAAATCAGGATCCTGTCAAGTACCAATTATCTAAGAGATGTCAATAGCCTGTTTAAGGTGTTGACCTCAATTTAACTCTAATCTGAGCCACATGGCAGGAGCTGCTGGATAACAGACGTGGACGAGACTCAGAGAACATGGATTTACTCCAGCCCGGGGTTTCACACCTCTGTATAGAGCCTTGAGAGGAAACCCAACATCTGTCTGTCTCGAAACCTCAAAAGCACCATTAGCACGGAAAAACGTCAAACTCCCCCTCAAATCCCAGGAAGAGGAAACCAAGGCTCAGTACGCAATATAGCAAAACTAACTCATCTGGGTTCAAAATCATCTTTCGTTATTGATGATCATTCAAAAGTAGACGTGTTCTGACTAAATAAAATGATAATGAAAATTGGATACTGGACTTTATACTCATATAGGGCGATATATTCTAGATAGCAAATCTGAACTACTTGCTGCTTGTATTGTCTCGTGAACTGTGATTTTTGGGTAACTCTCCTCAGTGAAGTCTTTAAGTCTACCTTTGACATGGATGCTGGTGGGAGTGATGGCCATATTTTTGAAGTGCTCATCTGTATCCGGATCCACCACTAGTAAGCGCGTCTCATTCCCGCCGTTCTTGATGAAGGCCACAACTTCAGCGTGTCTCATGCGTTCAATGTTCACGCCATTTACCTGCGCAGAGTTTTAATATAGCAAAGGTTATGATTTTAAAACAAGCAACTGTAAAAGTTTTTGTACAACAACAAAACATTTTATTGACCTGATTTGACTATATTTTTCTAAATATTCATAAACTGGATATACTGGACATGTTACAATAGTAATACCATGTTTTGTGGATACTACAATGAAACTAATACCATGGTGGCATGCCAATTTCATTGCAGTATCCAAAAACATGGTATTATCATGGTAATGGCAACAACTTTTAAATTGTATATGTTGGATTTATTACTCCAACACACACATACACACAGTTTTTATTCAATGATTCTTATGTTTATTGACAAATAAAAGGTTTTCGGTACGTATGTGTACCGAAAAAATACACTGCATGAGTGGAACTTCACTGGAAACTCACAGTTTTATATAGTGTAACTTTTGTTAAGAAATAAAGTGTCATCTTTCAAATTATGTCAATTTTTTTCAGGAAATTCAAACAATAAATGCCGTTTTGACGCTCTTTGATTACTGTATAGAAGCCTACCTCAGGCAAGTCATCAGTGTCCACAGCTCATTATTTGCTAGAGAAATAAAGTACAGAGAGAAGAGCTTTTCATGAAATATTAGAGTATATTCTCATTATATTTGACCTGTTAGTGATGTCTTATTTAATGTATGTTTAATTAAATCTGTTATGAAACAAGTTATGACAACCACTGTGTAGATGAATATATTTCAACAACAAATCGAAATTTGATCATTTAGAAGGTCATTTAAAAACTGCATTATGCTTATGTTTGCATAGTTGTTTTTTTAAAAGTTGAGTGTTGATTATTATGTTTAAAAATAAATAGTAATTAAATTAAGTTTAGGCTCTGTTGTTAATTGTAACCTTCAGTAACATAAAAGGGCTCCCTATAGTTTAGAGCAGAAGCTGAGGTAGATTTTTATCCCCAAGAAAATTTGAATTCTAATTGAATTTATTTAAAGAAAGAGCAGTTTGTTCAGTAAACCACTGTCTAATGTTTAATATATATATATATATATATATATGTATATATATATATATATATATATGTGTGTGTGTGTGTGTTGTTTTTTTGCAAATATGATTTATTCGGAAGCAATATTCTCATCAGTTTTCTATCAGCTGTGACATAATCGGCAATTAATCGGCTGTTTGCTGTGAGATGCGCTGTGTTTCCGCCTAAAATGTAAGTGACCTAATATTGTATTTGCTTATTGAACTGTTTATAGAACTATTAAACAGTCGTAATGGTGAAAACGTTGTGTGATGTTGCCTAACTAACTATTTTAAATATAAAAACTTTCCTTTTTGAATTTTTACGTCAGGATGCTCAGTTTCTTAGTGTTGCGCGTTTTGATTTCTCCTGGAGAGACTGCGTTAGCCTCGCCTCAGCAGCGCAACCTTATTCCGTCAATAGATGCATTATATGCAGTAGCTAGATCCACTATTCGCCACTTACTCTAAATGTAATAAAATCAGAATAATACTTGCGTTTTGATGTTTACATAGTTATTTTTGGTTACTGAGGCTTTAATGTTACTTGTATGGCGTTAATGGAGCCCCGGATGGAGCCCCGGACGGTCCAGGCCCAATTTAAACCCTGCTGACGGTGGAGAGCAATGGGGGAGAAAGTTTCTCTGAACTGGTGACTCACAAAACTGGTCAAGATCATGCTGTCAGGGCCATATTTCACCTCAAAATCAAATTAAAGAAATAACAAATTATATAAAATAAAGGCTTTTTTAAAGGGCCATTCAGATTTTTTTGCATTGTGACAATGTTTGCATGAAAATTATGGAAAGACTTGCTTTACTTTTTCATAATTCCCATTATTCTCAATGATGATCGTTAAGTATTTAAATCAAAAGGTTAAACAATACTTTTTAAAATAAATACATATAAAAAAATTTAAAAAACCATTCTGGCTTTATGCTAATTGTAATAAAAATCTTGCATAATACTTGTATAAAACTAGAATAAAAAAAAACTAATTCAATTAAAATGCTGATTAACAGAACTAATTTTTTTAAGTTAAAAAAAAATGCAGATTTATATATATATATATATATATATATATGCATACAATTATATATATATACATTGATAAATTATGCTGATTTAAATTTTAATTAAATTTTTAAATTTTTACAATTTATTTAAATTTTAAAAATGCATACATATATTAGCAGATTTTAATATAAAAATCTTTTTAGTTTTCTAGATTTTTCACAATGTGCTCAAATGTTATGCAAATACTGTCATAATATATATAATATAATATATATAATAAATAAGCTACAAATAGGCTGCATTATCTTTTCTTGTGATTTTGTTGAAACTCATATTATATCAGGGTTTCATAAGATTCACCTATTTATTATTGCAATGACTACTGAAATGTCTGGTGGTGAGCATAGTTTTTCTTCTTTCCATCAGCATATTCAGTTTTTCCTCAACTACAAACTTGCACTTTTCATAATGGTTCATCATTTGCACATTGCATTGATTAGATTGAGGTAATGTGTTAAATCCACACTCAGTCCAACTAAACCACACAAGTTCATGAGTTACCGGAGGTTATTATGAGAACATGTTATTTACTTCTGTGATAATGCAGGATGTACTCGGCTCTGCCGATCACAAATGTACATTTCAACAGTATGTTATTTTGCTTGACTCATTCTCTCAAGCACAGAAATATTTTGCGCGAGTCATCATATCACCAGCCGCCCACATGCATCTGAATGTGATGGATGGGCTGTGTGTGAGTGTGAATGCACAAGTGAATTTAGAAAGTGTGGGTGTATATCTGGCATCATCACAGTGTATACTGATGCACATGTGTGTGGTTTCCCTCAGGGGAAATTATAGAAATATGATAGAGATCTGTTATAAAGACAGAGCTGAACAATGGTTTCAGCAGAATCAGAATCAGATCTCACCTCTATGAGTCTGTCCTGAGGTTTGAGTCCTGCGCGGTCAGCGGGCGAGCCAGGGTCCAGAGCTCGAATGTACTGACCCGGTCTGGACCTCTCGCTGTGGAGATTAAAGCCGTAACCCGTCTCGGACCGCACCAGGTGACACAGCCTCGGCAGAAGCTCAGACGGGTCCTGGGTCGAGGACTCCGATGAGGGCTGAACCTCCTGTGATAGAAAAAAATAAAGACACTTTAAGATACGAATAAACCTACAGCTAAATCTTAGGTTGAAATAACTCTTTGTTTTTCACAGTATTTCAGTTTTAGCCCATGTCTTCCATCCATAATTTCAGAGAGAAAGAGAGAGGTTACTGCAGGTTCATTTCAAATTGATCAAAACGAAGAGAGTTTATTTGCCAATAAGGTCAGAAAAATACACTTAATTTAAAGTGGAAGGAAGTTTTCATGCCCCAATTTGTTCTTGTTTTAAGCATAAACTCAATTTTGTTCAATTTCTCAGAAAAACAAGACTTAATTTTTTCATTTTGCATCACTGAGGAAGATATTCATTTTTTTGCAGTGTATGTAATATTATTGCTGTGACTATGAATTTAAGACTTTGTGCCCTGATTTAAGAACTTATATATACAGTATACACACACACACACACACAGAGAGATCTGGGTAGTAAATGATTACATGTAATCTCGATTACGTAATCAGATTCCAAAAATTAAGTACTTGTAATTAGATTACATTTAAAAACATTAAACATTTTCATGATTTAATTAATTATTAGCTTTTCATTAAACTCGTAATCCCCCTGCAGTTCCTTTACAAACCCAGTTTGGGAAACCTTGACGCAATATAATGTTTAATGCACTTCATGTTGTTGATAGGCTTGCTGCGATAGATGGTGTTTTCGGTTATACCGGTGTTAAGCCGCAACACCGGTTATGTCATTTGCCCACCGTCGTTTTGATTTTTTTATAGTAACAAAAATCATTTAGCCTAGTTCAGTTAGAGGACAGACACTGAACTAAACGCTCAATGCAGCGTGCCGAACCATGCGCGAACGACTGCACCACGGAGCAGGAGTCAGATTTTATTTATCACGTGAGGAGAGTGAGTCGAGCTGACTGACAAGGAGTTTGACGTTGTTGTTGCTTGAATTGAATCAATGCCGAATTGCTGCTAATTTGAAAGTGAAAGTAAAATGCGCACTGCGCTTTTTGAAAGCCAAGAAATCCGAGGAAAAGAGGGAAAACTCAAACGAACAATTGCTTGACGCCGTATTGCGGCAATTTCGATTAACCGGTGGGAAAATTTCCTCACCGTCACAACCCTAGTTGTTGATAGCAACAAATGGAATATATTTTCTTACTCTTTGTATTTTTGTCAATATGGTACATATGGTAAGATTATCCTATTTAAATCAATATGAAAAATGAGATCAAAAGTAATCTAAAAGTAGATGTAATGTAATGGATTACATTACTAAGTATAATTTTTGTCATGTAATTTGGGATCAGTAATGGATTACAATTTGAAATCGCATTTGGTCTCGTACTGTATCGCGTACCTTGTCAGTGTCGTGCACTTTGCTTGGCCATTTGTTGTGATAAACAGGAAAGTGTGTCCAGCTTTACCCATCTTCAAGAAACGACTAAAAACACATCTGTTCCACCTTTATTTGACCCTCTAACTCTTAACACTTTCTATTCTATTTTAATTCTACTTTATCTATATTTATTTTCTTTTTTTCTTTATTTAAAAAAGCACACAAAAAAAACACTAGCTTTCTATTTTTTCTATTCTATCTACTTGTTTTTCTTTGTGTGCGTATGTATATGTGTGTGTGTATAATATATAATATATATTGCACTTATATATTGTTGCTCTTTTGTTAGTTTTGACTGCTTTTATTGTCCTCATTTGTAAGTCGCTTTGGATAAAAGCGTCTGCTAAATGACTAAATGTAAATGTAATCTACCCTAACAATAAGTAATCTACCCAGCTCTGTATATACAATGATTCATTTAGCAGATGACCATTATTTGATTGGCTGATTAAAAGTGTTAATTGCACCTAGAATTCATCAAAGTTAATGAATGAATTCCAGGTAAATTTGTGTTGAGTGTTCATTTAAAAATAATTAATTAAATAATATCTTATTTATTACACATGCTTGTATTAATTTTGAATAAGGATCATATGCTATGAATAATTGTAAATGTAAATAAATGTTATTTGCATAAAATCGCTGTTATATCAGCCATCAACCATCCTGGTTAACAGTCCACTGCTTAAACAACTCAGAAATCATGATAATGAACACAAAATGAAATGCATTTGTGAGCTATATTGTTGAACACATAATGACAGGCTTACTTTTACAATGAATTCCACCATTGTGATCTGAATACACAAGTTTTCCTCATAAAAATGTGTAATGGAAGGTTACAAATGCCACGACCAACCAATAACAAGAACCAAGCCAGGAAATCTGCCATTCATCCAAGACGGAGAGTGGAAAAATACACAATAACACGAAGGACGCTGTTTGACAATGTGAAAAACTGACAGCAAGGCCAGCAGAAGAACAGAAAGATGCTGGATGTGTGAATAACAGCAGCACGTGAAGCATTATCAGCCTGCCAGAGGAGAAACTCTCAAACATGAGCAAAAATACTCATCACGCCACCACAGAAAGAAACCAAAATCATTTTTTCACAGGTTACAAGATGGCATACTCCCGCATATCTGGTGGTGTATGCTCATGCATCACAATTACTAGTGCTCATATTTTTTTATTTCTTTTTGAAATTCTTACCTTTCTGTTCATAACTCCAAAAAACAAAGGAAATAAACACCCTGAAAACCACTTATCGCACCCTAAAACCATGGAGGACATGGTTTAATGGAAGAATAAGAATAAGAATCCAGTTCAATGGTTGTAAAAGTCACAATTAAACAAGCCATTGCATTGCAATCCTTCTTTTAGTTTTATAGCTTAATATGAAGGTTCAAATTCATTCGGCATCTGACCAAATCGAATGGACACGTCCTATATGCATCCAGAGCAGAGACGATTGAACTATTTAATAAACTAAAAGGAAGGTAGCAGCACATAATACAAAAAGAGAAAACATAATTAAAAGCCAAGGAACATTCACTATGCAAAGAGGTTTTTTTATTCATAAGAGGTAGTAATTACAGTGAAGGTCAAAGGTTAAGGTCCATTAGGGGAGTCTATTAAGAGTGACGGCAAAAACACAAACAATATGTGTGTGTGTGTGTTATACATTTTAAGGGTTAGTTATGTAAAAAAAAAAAAAACTCATTGAGATAATGTTTCATTCACATTTCACATATTACAGTATGTGTATTTTTTTTTTTTTTTTTTTAAAGACAATAAGATTGTTTCGGATAAAAGCGATTAAAGCGTTTCGTGAATGAAACTGTTATAACGGCACAGTCAGGCATGCAATCTATTATGCTTGAAAATGCAAATTATACAGTTTTGTGAAAAACCGTTTTAAGAGCTTGGAGGATCAGTTTCCAGACAAATGGTTAATGTCTGTGTCTCTGTCTGTGTTTGCTGTGGCTTGACCTGTTTGTTGGGATGAGAGTCGTTTGACTGACAGCCGTATGAAAGTTGATCTGACTGGCTGGAGACAAACGCACACATTGTTTGTAGGAAGAACAGATTACAGCATTTCCAAAACTGATATGTCTGAAAACATATATGCTTATATGCTACTATATCAGAACTTCAAGAATGAAACACTTCTAAGACACATGACAGACAGAGGATGTTCAGACAAGAAGTACTTTAGAAACCCCAAAAGAAACATTGTGCGCTTTAGTGCAATTTAGTGATTATATGTGGAGAGCAAAACTAAAATAAATGCTTTTTAACATTGGATCAGATGAAGTGCCTTGGCTTAGACTGTCATTTTATATATTATAGGGAAGTATAAAGGTTTATATATTTCTGGAAGTATAAAGGTTTATAAGGGTATATTGTGGATGTATAAATGGTTAAAATTCCTCATTAGTATAATATGATCCCTTTAAAGCCTGAAATATGATATAATAATCAGACAAATCTTTTTGTTTTAATTGTAACAGTTTATTAAACTTTTAGACAAATAAATAATATATATATATATATATATATATATATATATATAAATAAATAAAAGCTGTTTTGAGGAAAATAACACCTAAGTTTTATTCAAAGGCCCAAAACTGCAGTTGCTCATATTTATATGGACAAAAAGATGACATTCTGATTGTAAATCAATCTTTATATCAGTGTTACAGTATTATATCAGATCTTTATAACAGTAGTACAGATTATTTACAATGCAATGCAAAACAATATTGGCTAAGAGATGAACAAATAAATGTCCCTCAAAAGTGTAATATTTAAAATATTTGATGCATTTTTTTTTTCACATGATTTTTTTGGGAAAAAAAAAAAGATGTATGGAAAATCAAGTAAACCTAAGTTGCTTCAGTCCAGTAAGTATTATAAAAGATGTAAGTTATTCTCATGTTTACTTTATAAAAATCAGTAAAGATTTCAAAAGATGTTTTAAGAATAATACTAAAAAGGCCTTTTGCTTGTTAAAAAAGTATCAACTATTAATCAGATGACATGAGAAAGTCATGTTGAAATTCAATTTCATGTTCAAATATGATACAGTAGACTTCATAGGGTTAAAAACAATCCAAGACAGGAAGATTCAGGAGCAGTCCATCCCACCTCCTCAACACAGCTGACCTCTGATAGAACAACTACTGTTAGAGAGAAACACAGAGAAGTCTGGGACTGGTAGGAGGAACAAGCATGTCTCTGTTTCTGACACTTCCGCTGCTAAATACCTCTGGCTTTATGATTCTGTGCCTCAAATAAACCTCCCTGCTGAAGCATCATCAGAGTTATAATATTTCCATTGTCACACCCCTCAGTGCTCCCCAGCATTACGCCCTCTTCCTGTCACTCCGGGTCCTGAGGTTTCTGTTCCTGGCCTGAACATGGATGCGTGGGATAAGTATGGGAAAACACTCGGGAGAGCGGCAGATGCGGCACAAAGCATTCCGGAAACTTCCTGTCACAATAAGCCGCTGCTTGTGTGTTTCAAAGCATGGGCTTGTAAAATGATACAGATGCTTCTGAATTATTGACACTGGGACCTCTGGGATTTCTCGCACGTG